TGGTCTCAAGGAGGGCAGCAAAGAAGCCACTTCTCTCCAGGAAGAATAGCAGGGATAGACTGATATTCTGCAAAAGGTACAGGGAGTGGACTGCTGAGGACTGGGGTAAAGTCATGTTCTCTGATCAATCCCCTTTCCGATTGTTTGGGACATCTGGAAAACAGCTTGTTCGGAGAAGACGAGGTGAGCGCTACCACCAGACTTGTCTCATGCCAACTGTATAGCATCCTGATACCATTCATGTGTGGGGTTGCTTCTCAGCCAAGGGAGTCAGCTCACTCACAGTCTTACCTAAAAACACAGCCATGAATAAAGAATGGTATCAGAATGTCCTCTGAGAGCAACTTCTCCCAAACATCCAAGATCAGTTTGGTGATGAACAATGCCTTTTCCAGCATGATGGAGCACCTTGCCATAAAGCAAAGGTCATATCTAACAGGCTCAGGGAAACTCGCCTAATCTTAATCCCATTGAAAACTTGTGGTCAATCATCAAGAGACGGGTGGACAAATGAAAACCTAGGAATTCTGACAAAATGCAAGCATTGCATGCCAGGGAGAATTACAGAGGTCCTGAAGAAGAGGGGTCAACACTGCAAATATTAACTTGCTGCATAAACTTATTCTAACTGTCATTAAAAGCTTTTGTTACTCACAATATGATTTCAATTATATTTCTGTATGTGATGACAAAATCTGACATACACCCATGAAAACAAGAGGGCAGCAGATAATGTGGAAATATAATATTTGTGTCATTCTCAATACTTTTGGAAAAGACTGAACAATGTAGATGGTCACCCTCAGTGTGTGAGTGTGTGCGTTAATGGGTGAATGTAGTGTAAAACGCTTTGGAGCTATAAAGCACTATATAAGTACAGGAAGTTTACCATTCCATTGATTTTCAGTCACTTTCAACCCTTTCTATGTCCTAACCCTAAAACCACACCTACCTTTTGGGGGCCAGCAAAATGTCCCTACTTGACAACAAGTGGTCCTCATTGTCATGGAGAAATTGGAAAAAGGGTCCCCACTCAGGTTTCTATACAAGTGTGTGTGTGTGTGTGTGTGTGTGTGTATATATATATATGTATATATATAAATATGTATATATATATATATATATAACTACAAACAATGCCGTGTCTTATTTGTGGATTGAGAACAGAAAAAAGAACGATTTTACATGCAGTAACTAATACTGGCCGCTAGATGGAAACCACACTCTGTTAAAATAAATAAATCCTGTTAGTGTTTTATTACACTAACAGGGATCTGAATAGAGTGTTACTAACCTAGTAAACAGATTTCAGTCTGAAATAAGGTCTCCAAGAATAAACTGATGCTGGTGACGTTTGTGGGTCACTGGATCCTCTACTGTTGGTGTTTTCTTATGAATAGGGTGATGTGACCTTCTTCTCACAGTCACTCAGAGCCAACAGTACTGCCTAATGATTGTTATTCAGCAGTAGGAGGGGGCGGGGCTGGGTGTTTGCTTTACTTCATATGAAATAAAATAAAACACACATGCCTGTTTTCTGCTCGATATTTTACCGATAAATGTTTACATTGAGGCCATGTGAAATCCGTGATGCTTTTTTTTTATTACTGATATTACCAATCTTCCTGATAGCACCTGCAGCTTTACCTTCATAAATCACAGCTGAGATTGATTTTAAGTTAACCATTAGCTGTCAGGAGGTCCACACTGATGTACAGATACACAGATCCACCAAGGCTGCCTGGTTACCACTTAGCAGCCACTCTGTCATCACTATAACAACCTCTACTGCTGAGCAGCCTGCTCCAAAGTCCACATCCTTCTTCCTGGATCATCAAAGCTCATTCACCGTGTCTGGCTTCCTAAACGGGAGCCACTTAGGTCATGCTCGCCCTTTTCTGAAAAAAACTTCATCTTCTCATGGTCCAGCTTATAAAGCATTCTCTATAAAGTGAATGTTTCTTTTATAAAGAAGGACATTTCTAATTTATTTCTAAAAATGAGTGAAAATTATGTTTAGTCTCTTTTCTACCTGCATGTAAAAACTTATTGCTGTGATTACTGTAATATTAACAAAAACAGCCTTACACAGTAAAAGTCAAAGCTGGTCATTTTAGTTGATTGTCTGCTTGGTTCATCAGAGCTCCTCCTGTAATGTTTGCTGTCACTGTACAATTAAAATTAAAACTTAGTGTTTAGAAAGGCAGAACACCTCATTTAAAACAGTTAAGAACCTAGTATGAAAATTAATATTGAGTCAGTTTGAGCGAACAAATAGCTCAGAATGGGATATAACTGATTCCCTCATTATGGTAACATAGAGACAGAAATACTCACTTAATTGTAAAAAAGGTGACAGTGAATAAATTCATATTTTTTCAAAATTGGGCTCTTGTCATTCCTGTTAATGTATGAGCATTAGTGGTGCAGCCATTGCAGGAAGCTAGTAAAATAAAAGTTTAAAACTCACAGTAGATGTTAAGGTTTAGGGTAGTTTATAAATCTGAGTTATACAGAAACCAATAAAAAGTACAAAATTAATCAAAGGAGTATTAAGTATTTTAAAATAATTTTGTTGCCAGGGATGTTTCCTCTGTAGTGAAAAATACTAGACTGAATGATAGAAGCTCTCTGCCTACAGTTTATAGGCTGCTGTTAAAAGAAAGCATACAATCTGTTCTTATTTCATGATCTACATCTCTGTCAGTTTCTCATAATCCTTAGAGTTATTTATGATAGTTAGGTTTTGCCATATTCAGTTAATCAAGTGTTGCTTTTTACTGTGACTGAAGTCCTAAAAGATTGAATTATTTAAATTCTACTTTCATTTCTGTTTGGTTTTCTGTTGTTATATTTATTTTATTGTCTTGTAGTAGTATGAAGCTTCTTACCTTTGTAAATTTAGGGTCCTCCTGTACAAGTCCCTATGTGTTATCTGTCTTTGTCTGTTTCCCGTGTCACTGATCACGTCTCCTCTCTATATAAACTCCCCCTGTTTTCATTGTTTCTTCTATGCTGTCAGGGCTCCTTTTCAAGTTCTCCATGTGCCATATCTGTACTCTTGTTCTGTCATCTTGATAACTAAAACCAAATACCATACTGCTGCTAAGCTGTTACCACCTTTTACAGTTGCTTTTTATATCTCTGCTTCTGTCTCCTTGAACCCCAGCCAGCCTCTGCAGATGGCCGCTCACACTGAGCCTGGTTCTGCTGGAGGTTTCTTCCTGTTAAAAGGGAGTTTTTCCTCTCCACTGTCGCTACAATATTGCTTAGTGTGAGGGATTGCCTTCATGTCAATGAGTCAATGCAATCAGCTGGTTTTCCTTAAATAGATAACTGAATCAATTAGACTGTATGATCTAGTGAGCTGTAAATTGCTTGAAATTGAATGTGTTGTAAATTAGGGCTAAAGAAATAAACTGAACTGAATTGAATTGAATTGTCCATATTTCCTACCACTAGTAAATGCCAATGAAATTCTGATTTCTCTCAGATTATTCTGTCTGGATCATGATGTCTGGGTATTTTGCAACAGGAAGGACTGCTGTACATAACAAAATAAGGAAATAAACCGACCATCTTTCAAATGCTGACCATAAATAACATGTTAATTAGAAATCGGCTTTAGGTTTAAAAGGTGAATGTTGTTTCAGAGTAGCCATCTCAAACTTGAAATCCTAGTCCAAGAGAATCCTGTGTGAAAAATGTAACC